TTTAAAATACTTGAGCCCAAATACCAGTACTTCTGGGACTTCATAAGTATATTTTCAACCCGATATCATTACTTTCTTGTCTTCTCAAATGCTTTAACCAATTCCCCAGAAGTATGTCAGCACTCATTTTCAAGACTCTAAGATAACATCTATGAGATGAGATGCTGAATCTGGACTCAGTCCTTAGGGATGCCATGTGTACTGTTGGTGCTGGTGGACATACTGCTAGCAGCAAGAACACAGACATGACACCATACATTTGGAAGCTGCATTACCATTGATCTCAAATGTTCTTGGGTCTCCTCAGCTGGGGTAAAGCAACTGATGTGCAAATGAGAGGTGGGGGTGACTGCAATCCATTAGAACAATGAAAGTCATAATCCATTTTAAGTGATTCCCCAGGTTCCCAGCATCCCTGAGTTGCCAGGTTGACCTATGTCGTCATGGATGGCATGTGGCTGGACCTGTGTGACAATGGATAAATCTCTCACCTGCTGTTTTTATGATTAATAAAGTGGTCAAGTTTGGGGTTTATCTGTTCTTGTCAAATCTGACCCTGTTCTGTTCTAAGGCTGCTGTTACCCTAAAGGCACTTTCGATTTTTTTAATGTTGATCTCTTACTTTACTAATATTCAGATGTGAATATTATGTGTTAGAGTTTTAATTAATCCTCATTTTCTCAAATTAGCATTGTTTTTTGTCCCGCTCCCACTCCAGTCCTCTGGTGCCTACCTGATAGTGCATGAATTCTCAGAAATAATTGTCAGTAGTTCAGCAAGTTCATTTACTGATTCCCTGAAGACCTGCAGATGCGTGTCATCCAGACCTGATGATTTCTATATTAAATTTTTGGAAGTATGCCCTTACCTGATTTTTTTTTGTATCAACAAATGTATTGGCAGGTCATCATTATTTCTAATTATGAATATCTCTTTGTGGTGGTTGGTAAATTGATTATGAAACTCATTCACTGTTTTACAGTCATTAGTCATTTCACCTCACACATTACTGATTCCACCATTTCTTTGGAGTTCCTTTCCAATGACGTTGTGTACATGTTGAAATACATATTCAGTTCTCCCTACATAACTCCATGCTGCCAACTGGGAGGTTAATTTACTTTTGTGGCATTTCTGTCATTTGTCTCTATGGGGCTGGGACCGGGAGGGATCATTTTTTTCCTGCAATTATAGCCTTAGCATATTTTAGAATGTTATAGCTATCTCCCACACTTAACAGTTGTTATACATATTTTCATTGCAGCATGCTCCTAGGATTTCTCAAATAATTAATATTTGAAATCACTACACTGTACAACAGCCCATCAGTTAATACAGTATATTAAATCATGTGGTTTATCATCACGGCTGTTGAAATTAGTGAGCACTATGTATATATGTATGTTAGAGGACCTTGGCCCTAGAACAACTGCTTCTTATTATCTGACTCTCACAAATTATTCTATCAAAAAATAGATGGCTGTTCATGCATTTAGTTTAGATTTGTCTACTGCTAAATATACAATTGATATTTCAGTCATCAATTATATTATTCCTCTGGCAAAAACCTTATGGCCAAATCTGTCATCACCCTTAGGACATAATTCCACTTGCTTCAGTCACATTTTCCAAGCCTCTGGTATATAAATCATAAATTCACAGTCAGTGCAGTGTTAAATTTTTGGGGCTCTCCCTTTAGTAGCAGTTGAATGTGAATACCTAAGGGGAAAATTTGACCTTTAAATGACTGTGAAGGGCCAAGGCAGATACTTGGCAAGCTTTTCTTATTGCGGTATTAATCAAGCAAAGAATCATCATAATCCTGGAAACTAAATAACCATTGTAGTGATTGTATCACCAGGGAGACAGTTCATCTGACAGTAAGATTGTTACTAGGAAAGGGAAAATAGGGAATGTGAAAATTGCTTTAGACCACTGAATCATTGAGTCCCTCTAGACGAGAGCTTGAATTGTTTTTTGAGAGGAGTGGGTTGAGAGGGGTTACTACAGGAAAGCTGTAGGTTAATCAGTTTCAGTAGCACTAGTGAACATGAGCCTGCTCTCTTGAGAACATGAGGACAGTACATGGGAGAAGGCAGGATGAAGAAAGGGACAGGAGAGCTTCAGAAACTTATTGTTTTGTCATTTTTCATTTCTGGATGTCCCTTTCACAGAGGAGGAAGGTTGTTTATGAGAAAGGAAGAAAGGGCAGAAAAAAACAGCATAATTTCAGAGCATATATTTTCATCTAATTTAATCCAGTGGATATTAAGGATAATTACAATCTAGATAGAAGGAGTTGGATGCAAGCAGGCAGAAGTGGCTGAGACATGTTTGTGTAAGAAGTGCCTGAGTAGGGCCCAGAAAACCACATGGGAAGATGTTTTAGCTCTCAGGACTCCATATAGCATTGCCATGTGCTGTGACATAGGCGTGTGAGAAGCAGGTGAAACACCTGGGACAGGAGCATCCTTGGGGTGTGCAAGGACAGCCTGTCCCTCCATAAAACCAGCTTTGGTAGATGACATTCGTGTTGCTGTCATTGCATGGTGACAGTGGGCAGTCATAGCACACCCAAGCATGTTGTAACCTCAGGGACAGGTCTGTTAGGCTGCAGGTTGTGCTGGAAGGGAAACTTTATCCAACTGCTGGGTTGAACCACCTCCCTGTACAGGATGACCCTAAGATGGGGAACAAGCATTGTTAGGTGGTTCTCATCGGGGATAGGGCAGGTGTTCTGCATTGTATACCACCTGCAAGGTAGAATCATAGAATCCTTTGGGCTTGACAACGCTTTTAATATATAGAGTCCAACCATTAACCCAGAACTGCCAAGTCCGCCACTTGATAGATTTCCTTTCAGCGAAGAGGGTTTGCACACGGATGGGTGAATTTGGAGGTGGAAAGCATTTGTGCTCTAGGTGCCTTTAGGAAATTTCTGGAAGATGTCATGAATTGTCTCCATACAATGAATGTGAAGAGGGGGAGGAAGATCTGTCTATGTGTGCATGTGACGTGGATCCTCTTTGTACAAAAACATCTCTTTGTGTGGGAAGTGGTGTCTTTCCATAGAGAGCTTTTTCAGAGAAGCTTCTCTGATGGCTGCCTTTGAGGGATCAGGGCTGTGCAGTGTGGCAGGTAGTGCCACCATCAAAGACTTTCTGGAAGGAACAGTATAC